TTCCTATTTTTTCTATGGGGGAATTTGGGTTGCTTTTTTTTGGCACCAGGGACCGAACTCGGGTCCTTGAAATTGCAAGTCAGGCGGCGGAACCACTGAGCTAAATTCCTAGCCCTCTATGGGTGTATTTGTTTTATTGGTTTTAAGGATTATAATACATATTTATACACATGTATTTTTATTTTTGTAGTCAAATCTACCAATCTTTTGATTTTATATAATCTTGTTTTAATCCATTTTTTTTAACTCTTTCATGGTTACATTTGACTACACTAATTGCCAAAGCCATACCATCTGTGTACATATTTAAAAAGTGGAGACAAAATGGCTTTTTCCTTACTCTTCTCTTTAAAACAAATCTAAATGACACGGTCTGATATTACACTTAATTGTTTATATTTGTTTTTTGTTTATATTTAAATATTGACTCTAAGGAATTTGTTTTAGAGATGATATGAACTATTGTCCCAACAATCTGATGAATAATCCCTTCACTCACCACTAATTTAAAAAAAATTCTAAACATTACTGTATGTAAATTTCTATTTCTGAGTTCCTGTCCTGTTTCAATCATGTGATTGATCTCTTCTATTTTGCTCCAGTATTATGCTTTTATATTTCTTATAATTGTGTAATTCTTTTTAAAATATGGGCATGCGGGTCCTTCTGGGAAGCATTTTTATCTCTTTATACCTCTTACTATATCTCTTATTTCTCCAGATGAGCACTGAGTCATAATGGATAAAACATATAATAACCATGTATCAATAGTCACTGGAATCCATAGATTAATTCTGAGAGAAGTAACAGCCTCAAATTCCCACGAGTTCTCAGTAACATGTGCAGCTTTGGCTAAAATTGAAGAGCACAGCTGATAGTAATGGAGCCTGGCCTGGGCCAGGAGGGCTGGAGTTTGCTTCTAATCACCAAGCTTTGGGATTCAGGCAGGCACAGCCAGGATGAACTCCAGGATGGACACCGGAGACCTGAATATAGGTCACACAAAAGTTTGGGACTCTGCCTCATTGCTACTTTGTTCATTATTATAAATAAAGCTTCTTGATATATTGTTTCTTTGTAAACGTAAAACATTTAAAGTTATCAGTCTTGTGTTCATTGCTTCTCCTAGCTCTCAAATTTTGGGATTGTAGTGTGAATTATAGATGACCCTGATGAGTGCTGCTAGAGGAAAAAAAACGACAAAGACTTAGTCATTTTCCCAAAATCAGTACATTAATCAATAATTTCAACCAGAAGAAATTACTGATCATAGTGTCTGGCACATACAAAAATGGCAGTTCCACATGGCTTAGCTAAATGGGCACTGGCCATTCCTTCCGGTATGTTTTACTTGATGTCACACTAGCTTTATAGATTTCCTTGCTTTTCTGATCATGATGCATTAAAAAAAGAAAAGAAAAAGAAAAACTGTCTCTGTAAGTGTCTGAGCTATTAATATAAACAGCTATGTTTTATAAAATGAGGGAAAATCGGCACTTCTATGAATGTTTAGTGAAAGCTAAACTCCCTCGACCCATACAGCATTTACTACTAGAAAGAATCCTTTCCTGGAATTTATCTGACCCGGTGCCTACACAACCTTTGGAAAGCACGGAGCAGCATAGGACCCAGTGCCTCTCCCCAGCTCATGCCTGTCTGTAAACTCTTGAATCAATATTCCGAGCTCCTAGGTAAAATTCAGGCCCTGTCCCCTGCCATCTTCTACCGTGCGACCACTCCAGGCAGTGTGGTCTACTTTTAGGTCCCCAAATACAACTTGCTTGTCTCTGCTCTTTGCATTTAGTTTGTCATATTGATCCTGCTTCTTCTAGCTCCTTCACCTTCATAACTCTAAATTGTGTCTATCATTCACACTCCATACCAAGACTTACTCATTTCCAGGAGTCTGTGGGGGAAATCCAGCCCCACAATGACTGCAAAAGCCACCATGATTAGCTCTCCACAATGTTCTCCTTTTCCAAGTGTTTTATTTTCCTGGTAAGGATTCTACCTTCTTTAGTGTATCATCATTCACCCAGCTCTGGGCTATGTTGATGGCTAAAGTATGTAAAGTATTTCAGCTGACTGTTTTCATTTCATTCCACTTGGCCTGGTGATGGTTTGGGTGAACATCAGCCCCAAACAGAGATGCTAATGTTCCCCAAAGTATGTCTGATTTACTTCACTCAATGTTGTATTTTCCAGGTGCATCCATTTTTATACAAATGCCTCAAATTTTGTTTATCCAGGCATCTATCGATGGGTAAATAGGCCTCTTCCAGGATTTAGCTACTATGAATTGTGCTGCTATAACCACTGGTATGCAAGTATCGCTGTGGTATGATGACTTAAGCTCTATGGGGGAGATACCTAGCAGGGGGGGTAGCCAGGTCACGTGGAATTTGTAATTTCATCCTTTGAGAGATCTCCATACTGAATTCCACAGTGGTTGTACTAGTTTGGATTCCCACCAACAATGTAGGAGAGTTCATTTTTCATCACAACGAGAAAGGGAAGGGGAATTTTTTTTAAAAAGCCAAAATAAACATAAACAAAACAAGCTGGAAAGTACCCAGAGTACAGGATGCCTTTATTCCATGCCCCTGTGAGACGGCTACCCCCACAAAATTCCTAGACATTGTACCAAGTGACAGCCTCGCTCTACTTTTGTACCGAAATTTTCTTTTCTTCACCAACAGGACCTGACTTCTGCTAAGTGAGTGTTTCTTCCCATATGCTGTACTGTAGTGGAAGGTGCTCTCTCCCAGGGCAGAAGGGGGTACCCATCCAGGAAATGGTGCCTACCTAGGGAGAGCATGTGCTGCCTGCAAAGCTCCTGGGGAATCTTTGTAGTCAAACAGAAAGAAAAATGACAAAATGTTTTCATATTTTCCTAAAACGTGCATCTGTGGTGGATGCTTTTCTATTACATTGCCTGTGAATAGAACCCATGTTCACAGCTGCTTGCCGTATCATCTTTCTTTGTAGTTTTAACAAATTTGTTAAGCAAAATTTGCTCACATTTAGGGTGCTTTACCCAAAGTTTTATCTCTTCCCAGCTTCAATTAGAGGAAGCCCTTTAATATTTAATAAAAATTTACTTTATTGAAGTATAAGTTAATTAAATAATGAGACTGCTTTGACTGGAGCATTTGCATATAATGCTTTTATTAGTTCCCTTTAGTCATTTTTTTATTACTGTGCCTTGAAATATTTAGGGATAATACTTCCCCTCACAGTTTGAAATCTTTTCAGATGTCTCTGAAATGCAGAGTAAATCTACCAGATATATCTTTTCTCATTTGCAATATAGTTTATTTCTTCATGGTGTAGATCATAAATAATACATCCATTATTTATGGGAGAGGAAGTTACAAGGTTGCTACTTAAAGATGTTCCATTGCCTAAGTGGTGATATTATTTTATTTTATTTTATTAAATATTCAGAGCAACGATAGGCAGAAACTATTTTTCATTTTGTTATATTCATATCACATTATAATTTCATAACTCTTCTGTTTTTACCAGAAGTAGTACTGAAGTAAAAACCTGCAGATTAGAAAATATTTGTTTGACCCTAAGTACTTACTTTATTTTCAAATTTCTTTTTACCTATCAGTGATGGGCTGTGAAGCAGTACCTTCTACTCTGCATATCTTTTAACTTTAGAGTTTAGAGAATTGTTTTTTCTTTTTTTTTTCTTACTTTTCTAGTTTTTTTTCTAAGTCCTGCTCTTCACAAGGAAGCCAGAAGTGTGACAGAAAGGTGTGATTTTTAATTTACACCAGTGTCTCGCAAATAATGACTTTTCACACCCCAGTGTTGCTACTTAGCCTAGGGAGGAGCTCAGTGGCTACTGTCTGTCTTGGAAAATTAAGCCCAGGCTGCAATTCGGAAAGGCTTCTTCTACATTTAACCCTTACTTTTAGTTTTCAGCTCAGCGCTGTGAACACTTATGAGCCTGTGGTTTATTCCTTTGAAAAGTACTTATTTTCCAGGAAATTATTTTTGAAGTCTGTTATTGTCAGATGGTCAGGTATGAAAGATAAACATCTGTTCCCTGTCTTCTGTTCTCATCATGAGATGGTAATTGTAACTTTTTTAAATACACAAAAAATAAAAATACCAGAATATTTACTTGTAGAACTTCCAGCCATAAAATTTGAGTACATAATCCAATTAGTATTTTATTCTATCTCATAATTCTATTTCTGTAAGAGTAGCTTTTCCTGTCTTTACACAATAGTCACTGAATTACTGTACTGATAAATTTATTATTATTTAGATTAAAATTTGAAACTGAAAGTGCTATTAAATGATTAAGATGTTTTCAGTTTCTGCCAAGTCTATTAAAAGTCTTTTGGACTGAATTGTAAAAAAGGAATAAGTTGCTCAAGGAAAATAGGAAAAATTATTCAAATTAGCATGCATGATTTAACATAGAAAAAAATATTAAAATTGCAGAATAGCAGCAGGCAAAAATAACTGGATGTCTAAAGAATCTATCCTACAAACTCTGTATATAATGCTTTCACTTAGAGAATTATTTACGTGTTTAATTATTTTCCAATCTTGAAACTGCCACACTGTTAAAGAAAATGCCAGTTTATCCTAGTTATCTTACTAATCCCAATAGCGTTCAAGAAAGTTCTAGAACTGATGGAGTATGTAAGAATAACATTGGGAGGAAGGACAGACACATTGAGATTCTCCTGAGAAAAAATGGCTCCTGCTTCCTCTCGTTGCTGACTGAGCAAGGAGAAATGGTAGCAAAAAAAGGGTTAAACAGTCTTAGTTTACTAAGTATCTCAGTCAGGCTTTTATCTGATCCTCTCTCCCTTTCTCCCCTGCCCACCCTTTTTGTAAATGTCAACCACTTCCTGATGATTTCACACCTTTCTTTTCTTTGTGAAGAAACCTTGGTGTTAATGGTACAGGATTGGGTACCATTGTATGCTCTGGCTGTCTGTGAGTGAAGCTGAGGGATGTCTGTGGGGAAAAGTAGGAGAAAGTGAAGAAATTTGAGAAAAGAGACCAGGCAATAAGTTAAAAGCTGTCTTGCTTTTAAAATGAGTCTTTGCTTTCTTAGCAAATTGTAAAAAATATTAATTTTACAAAAGCTTATTACTGAGAGTCTAAAAGAGTCTAGCAGAGGAAGGATCTGATTATTTAAAAAAAAATCGAAGAGCAGCAATCAGGAAAAAAACACTGGCGAATCCTTCTCTGACCTTTTATTCTACGGTTGTATTGTTTATAGGGTAAAACAATGGAAACTTGGTCAGTTGATCAAGTCTGCAATTGGTTGGTGGAGAAAAACTTAGGAGAGCTAGTTTCCAGGTTTCAAGGTGAGTTATTTACACTTTCAAATAATTTCATTTGAGCAGCCCAGAGACCCTGTGTCCTCTGCTGTTGAAAATTGCCTTTGTTCCCTCGATTGTTGAGAAGTATATTTGGTCCCCACTGCCTGCATGTATGTGACAGTAGGTGTGGACTTGCTGCATCAGAGAACTTTTCATGTCTTTATGGACTGTGACACTTGCTGTTTACTGAGTGTCTTCTCGAGAATATAATATTTCAAGAACTGTCTTACCTGTTACTTAAAATGCATATTTGATACCTACATTGTATATTGCTTTTGCCTTGTATAGTCCGGTATGTGTTTTATTTACAAATATTGGATATTGGCTAGGAAGTTTTACTTAGAATAATTTCTTAATATTTCCTTTTTGCCTTATCAAATGTTCGTTAGAATGGGAGTGGGGAAGCTTGTGAATGTGTAAAGAAAAGTTTTTATTGTGACTTGCTGCCCTGGTTCTTGCTTAAGAGTCAACATCAATTTGGAAGTATGCAATATCAAAATGTGGCTAATTTGTCAAAAATGTGGCAAATTTTATACCTACAGAGGACTACTTTGCTTTTGCCTGTTTGTAATATCTGTGTTTTACTGTGAGTCCATAAAGAAACTATTTTCTCCCCAGAGGAAGAAATAAGTGGAGCAGCTCTTCTAGCACTTAACGATCGCATGGTTCAGCAACTGGTGAAGAAAATTGGTCACCAGGCTGTTCTGATGGATTTAATTGAAAAATATAAGCAGAACAGCCAAGGACTGAGGCCTCCGGGATCCCCTAGAGACACAGCACCAGGGACACAAGCAGAAGCAGCCCTGGAGTGAGTATGCTCTGAGCCCCCAGAGTTTGAGTCTCAGCTTTCCCAAGGAGCATCTCACTCGGGTTCAAACCCCTTGAAAACTGCAACCATTTTCAGCTGGTTTGTGTGTTTGGTATTTCTAATAATGCTCTTTGCTAAATTTTATGTATCAAGGTACATCATTTTTATTTACCACTCTTTAAACTATGATTCCAGCTGTTAGGGAAGTCCTCGAAGCAGGCAGATCCTGTACAGCTCACTGGGGAACAAGCAGCAGACTCAGATGCAGAGTGGAAATGAATTCCTACAGCTCAGATTCCAATCCCAGTGCTAGCTAAAGGCATCTCTGACTGCTCCTGTATTTTCCCCAAAACTATTTATCTATGTATTTATTTATTTGCTCTAGATTCACCTTGTAACCCCCAAAGGCTTCACCATATAATTTGCGAACCACTCTTGCCAGAGTATTCTAATTCTCAGAATAATAAATGCTATGATAGCACCCCACAGAAATCATAGAGAAAGATTTGTGGTGGCAAATGAAAGCCCTGGAACTTGAGGGAAGTTTTGGTTTTGGTTTTTTATCATTGTCTCCTGCAATAAAAAAAAAAAAGATATGACTACAAGATTTATCAAATTAAAATTTTCATTTCAGAAATTTATATCCCAATATTCTAATAGGTATTTTGATTTGGTGTTTTCATATACAAGACTTTTTGAAAGATTTTTAAGATTAGATATTTGCCAGTTATTCATTAATTTTAAAAATTAAATGTGATGTTTGATGTTACCCATTCTATTTTTACCTTTTTAAAAACTAAATCTGTAGTAATACATACTTTCTTCTTATTGATAAGCAATATAATGTTACAGAGACTAAGCTTAAGTAATTTGATTTTCAGAATGTTTGGATATTGGGGGCATGGAGAGGTCTGGTTGGTTTCTAGTTGGACTGGAAATTCTCTGTACTGATTTGCTTGAATTATTTCTCCTAAAGATTGTTTTGGTGCACTCTTGGATATGTGATTTTTGGTAAAGTTCCCATTCCAAGCTTCTAATCCTTTCTAGCAAAAGGGAGGGTGTGAATTTCAAAGAGAGTGCAAAGTATTTCCGGCCCTTTTTGGATGAGTAGAGCTTTAGAGCTGGACGTTCTCTCAGTTGACTGGAATCTTGATATTGCCTTGGGCACAGCTTAGAAGCAAACAGGCAGCCTGGTTTCCACTGCAAATCACTTTATAATGTTCTCTAGTAACTGAGAACTGGTTGGGTTGCCAGGAAATCTGGGCTTCATTCCTGGTGCTTCCACTCACTGGGATGATTATATTAAATGTTGGCACTCCTGTTTCTTCATCATGGAAATCACCTAACTCTTGGTTAATTCCCGCTGATGGTAGGGGGATCATAATCCGTGAACAAGTCTTTCTTCCCTCTCCCAGACCAAAATAGTCCTTTGTTAAGTATGGACCTTTGTTCATCTGGTTGAGAAAATTAGTTTCAAATGTAGCCAAGAGTAGGAATATTGTACAGGAATTTATGAGTAGGGGCTTGTTTCCCTACCCAGTAAGCAGCTGACTCACTTTAAGAATTGTATTGTCTTGAATTTAGGTTAAAGAGTGTTCTGGTGCAAAATTACAATTACATGTGAGAAGAAAATGCTTGTTGGCTATACTTGCTTATTGTCAAATATATTTGCCAAACACATTGTGACTTGACAAATACACTGTCAAGTGGGAATGACAGTAGAGAAATAAGAAAATATACTATTTAATTAAACTCTTTGTAGAAAGTGCTTAATAAAGATCAGAAACTAAGTATAAGAAAGAACCCTGAAGTTAGGTACCAAAACACTTGATTTCAAACCTGTTGTGATATTTGCTAATCATTTAACTTTGGGCATTTGTTTTATGTTTTTCCCAGTTTTAGCTTCTTCAACTATAAAATAAAGTAGGTAGCCTTAAGAGCCCACAATGGCATTCTAGATCCAAGATAGTAGATGGTTTCAACCTGAATGGAAATTCCATTTAATGGTCAGTGGTTGTTTGGTATGTTACTTTGCAAAGCATTTGCAGGTCATGTCTGGACAGGATATTTGACATCCTATTTAGAACTAAGCAAATGATAGGTGCTATGGTGTAGATCTAAAATGTCTTTCAAAACTCATATGTTCGGAATTAGGGCATTTAGAAGGTAACTGAATCATGGGGCCACTCTGCATATAAGTGGATTTATAGCTAAATGTCCGGTTAGAAGATGGAGCCTGGGCAAAAGAGGTGGGTCCCTGAGAGCATGACCTATAAGAGTATATTCTTATCTTTGGCCTGGCCCTTCTCTCTGCTTCCTGGCCCCCATGGGTTGAGCATCTTATGTCTGCCATGCCCTTCCATCATGTTGTTTCTGCCTTGGAGCCAGAAAACCATGGACTAAACCATCTAAATCCATGAGTCAAAATAAACTTCAAGTTGCCCATATTTTGTTCTAACAAAGGGAAAGGAATTAATACAATAGGGAATATTGGGAATATTGGCCATTGGGCTTTGGCTGCTGCTGTTGTTGAATCTGGTAGAAAGATCATAGGACAGGAATTTGGGAAAACTGAATACAAAGCCTGGCCCTATCACTGACTAGCCTGGAGCCATGAGCAAGTTGATTCCCTTCTGAATTTTGGTTGCATTACTAGGAAAATGAGGTAGGTAGTGGCATATGGTTCCAGGATGATGAGATATCACAGACAATAAATGTTCTTCCCAAATGGCAAGGAACAGAGGAGAGATCAGACGGGGATAGCCATTTTATTTTGCTAAATGGAAATATTAACTAAGATTGGCATACTCTATTATCACCATCATTTCATAAAGGAAAGTATTATCTTAACACAGTTTAAAAATATAAGATTGGTGGAAATGGCATTGTAATCTGGCACCAGCCTGCTTCCTAGCACAGGAAGCACATGGTGAGATGGCTCCAGAGGGTCCTCCTTGCACTTCTCTGTCTCGAGTCCCATGTGGTCTTGGGTGGGCTTCCCTACCCTCAGAGACAGCGTGACAGCAATGGTTGTAGCTTCAGTCCCACAGCCCCTGAAGCCTCTCTTCCCTTTTGGTAACAGAGTGAAGCAGTGCTGCCGTCCAGCCAGCCTCAGAGAGCAGGTGCCATCTTTCCATCCTGCAGAAAGCCTTGACAGCGGACAGATTGACCACAGAGTACTGAAACAGAGGTGAGGTGGCAACTCTAAGTCATTCTGAGGCCAAAAGACTCCACTATTCTTTATTTTTATGAGGTTTTGTGTGTTTAAATGCCTTTTTATTTTAGAAGGGAATTTTTATCAAATGAAGATATTTGGTGAAATGAGGGTCAAATTTTCTCTGTATTGAAAAAGTAAGGTTTTTAAAATGATGTCATACATCTCTTTTGGATATACATTCTTAGGAAAAACAAAAAAGAATTTCTCCATTGTAAATTGTCCACAGTGATTTGCAGTGGCCAAAACCAGATGCATTTATTCAGTAAATAATGATCTACAGAAACGTGCCTTGTGGAACCTGGCCTTTCATTTTGAATTTTGAACTGGTTGCTCTAACTTTTCTTGACAGAGGCGCTGTTTTGGTAAGGAGTTCCTGTGTGTTCCTAACCTGGGTTTTGCGTGTAATATGTTGGTGTATGGGTTCCACTGGAACAAAGTAAACTGTCGACCTCAAGAACCACACGTAGGAGTGTGGCACTCAAAGACGTGACCGTCATAGTGAGGAAGCCTCAGAAGCCTCCTCAACCTGCGCGGCCACCTGGCCCAGGCAGTCCATGCATCTCTGCTGGACATAAGTTGCCTCCAGGTGCTAAGAAGCGAGTTCCTTTCCTTACGCACACGGTCATTGATAAAAGAGACTGTCTGCTTAGACAGCAGCCAAGCAAAGCCATGGTCCTTGACAATTTTTACAAATCCTTTCCTCTGTCGCCTCGTTTAGTTCTCACATCGGTCATACAAAGGAAACATTATTTTCTCTGTTTTGTAAATAAATCAAACACAGACTTAGAGAAGTACGGGGTTTCCAGCTAGTTTTCCCAAATGAGATCTCCCAGGAGGACGGCTCAATGTCCTTCATCCATGACTCCTGCTTGGGATGGTGGTTGAGAAAGCGGACGGGGACATTCTAGGTGGGAACTTGGATCCTTGGCCTGAACTGTGGTTCAGAAAGTGTAAACATGTCTTAAGGTGGCTTCATTCGCTCCTCTCTGCACATGGGTGTTCATTTATCCCTAGAATCCGCCTTTGCGCCAGGTGTGTGGAGCAGGGTGAAAGTTTTCAGCTGCGCCTTCAGCATGAAGCTGCTCACACAGTCATCCCTCTGTCGGTACGGAAGTGAAGGGAGACGGAATGGTCATCAGTCCTGTGACACCTTCCCTGGTACCTCTGTCTCAGGTCCTTCTCAGACAAATGGCAGCAGCAGCCCTTTCTCTCAAATAGAGAGAGCACTCAATAGACAGTGCCTGCTGAGTGCTCCGCAGAGAACAGGCACAGGGGAGCTATCATGTGAGGTTCTGACCTTCCTCCCCCTGCCTGCTACCCTGCCTGCAGGATCATCCCAGCCAGCTGACTGAGTCTTTTAGGCTCAAGTATCTGGGGAAGAAAAACTAACAGCTCAGTGTGCATGAGACAGCCACCCCCAGGCCCTGGGCTCTGTGAGGGATGGATGGGCGAGGTCAGGATGGGTGGGGTGCTGGTTTTACCGAGCTCCCCTCTGTTCATGCCCTTATCGGGGGCTGTGGACTGGGGTCCACCATGCAGCCAGGTGAGATGGACTCAGGGCAGCCACGCTTGACCTTGTCCTCCCGCCCCTCACAGGGCTGGAGAGCCTATGGCACGTGTGCTGCATCCAGCTGTTTGTTATCATTGAAAGCTCTGAAAAGTTCGCCATCCCTGGCCTAGGGCTGCATTCATTTGGAAGCTGTTGAAGAGGGGCCTCTTTCACTGCTGTGGTATCTGGCTACGTTCTTCACCTACCTGAGTGAGACATGCTTATCCTTCAGGACTGCTTAGGCAAGCCTCAGGAACATCCGGCCAGACACCAACCCCTTCTCACTTGTGTAGCGTCCTCTACATAACTCTTGCTTGGATTGTAAAAGTAGGTAATGAGACATGGGCGTGGTGATTGCTTGCCTGTGATCCCAGCACTCTGGAAGGCTGAGGCAGGAGGATCACAAATTTGAGCCCAGTCTGGGCAATCTAGTGATTTACACCCCATCCCCTTCCCTTCCCCCCAAAATACTGGGGAAGTGAAGACCAACAGGATTCAGTTCCCAGTATGCTGCCCCCCACGAAAAATGCAGATAATGAGATTGACTACTTCCGAGTCGAGTCTGTATTCCCTCTTTCGCCGCCGGTGAGCACTCTAAGGACAAAGGCAAGGACTATGCCATTTTGCTACGGTGAACTCAGCATTTTGCTCAGCCTCTGGTGCTTAGAGGCTCACTCTGACTTTTAAATTGAACTAAGGAAGTGTGAGCCAAAGGAGGACTGAATGTACTTTCATGGGATTGGAAAAATATTTGAACAGCATCAGTATCTTTTTAGACCTTTTGATACAATCCACACGGCATGTGCTAATCTTTTAACTTCAGGGATTTTGAAACCATTCACCCACAGTGGGCTACAAAGCTGAAGATGTTTGGCCACAGGGCTTTCATGAAGCCAACTGCTTCCCGCAGGCAGGAAGGGCTGGCTTTGGGTCTCTCACGCTGAGCTCTGTTCCTGACTCCACTTCTCCTCTGAGGTCTGTGCACCCCATGGGGTGGGTCACCTACCTTGTTATGAATGTAGTCCCTGAGGTCCAAGTGAGATGTCTGGCCATTGTCACCACACCACATCACGTGGCAGTTACTATTCTTGTGGTATTTTTCTCTGTGTTCCCTGAAAGCAACATATGCTTCCTGTCCACATGATTTGCAGCCAAAAAGTAAAAGAAGGCTCTAATGGCTGGAAATTGGATGTACTTTTCTCCAGTGACAGGTGATTCTGTGCTCTTTACTGGATTGTTTAATGCCTCTTTCTGGGTGCAATGCCCCATTCTAGTCATGTGTTCTCCATCCTTTGGGAATAGCTTTTCCTGCAGGGGTATTCTTTGCTTTAACTGTACCCTATTGGAAACCATTCACTTCTCTTTTAGTACTTAGTAAGACATAAAATCAGATAAACAGGTGGAGGTTTCCTCCATATTAAAGATACTTCCCTTAAACTTTAAATATATGTGTGCAGATGTTTTGCTTCTGCTTTGGGGCATAATTATGAATTAGTCATGGTTTCATGCACATTTAAAAATTACTGTAATGATTTTTTTCTTAGTGCAGCTTCTGCTATGAAATGATGTTGAATGAGCATACCTTCCTGCCTGTGCTCAGCATGGCAAATCTCCATGGTTCCTCAACACTCTTGCGGCTTTATATTCAGTCTTTTTCCCACATGTGGCTCAAACACATGTAGGGAGACACCGTGGTGCGTGCATGCTGTGCCTGGGTGTAATAAAGGAAGGGCTCAGCGAAGTCCAGCAGCCTGGTTACAGGTCTCTTAGTACCAGTTCCGGTTAGATGCGTGATTAGGCTTTTCAACGCCTGTACTTTTCAATCCTCAGAGTTTTGGGAGACGGGGGTGAAGGTTACTCACCTTTGCAGGGTCTGACACAAAATAGGTGATCAACAAAGGTTTACTACAGGAAGGAACAGAGGTGTGGAACATTTTCTGTGGACCCACTGTGGCTGAGTCAAATCTATGTGACGGAAATAGTGGAGTGAAAGAGACCAAGGGCCACACCTGGTGGTTAAGTCAGCCATGTGAGTCAGCACAGGTGGGAGAGAGGTAAACACAGGGATTAGGCCAGGATGCCAACCCTGCTAATGGCCAGGACTGCAGAGTTTGGAGAAGAATAGAAAGGAGTTAAGAATTTTGTTTTAAATTCTAGTTCTGTTCTGTATCAGCTGAGTAAACTTGAGCACTTGGGACACTTTCTGACCTTAGTGGGTTTCACTTTTCTCATCTGTAGAATGAACCAAAGAATGAGTTCATATATAGAAAACTCTTTGGTTTGGGACCCATGGAGGAGCTCATAAACTTTAGCTCTTGTTTGTGTTATTTGGCCAGCCACCAAAGCACAGGGTCCAGTGAGACTCAGACAGCTCTGGTCTCCACTCTAACAGGTGGTCCCGAGTTGAAGAGCAGGGCTTGCAGCAGCCAGCAGTGCCTAGAAACCTCCCAGTACTCAGGCTCCAGCCAAAGAGGAGATGCTTTGGACCTTGGCTCTCCCTAGCACTGAACCCTCCTCCCACGGAGAACATCTGCAGACCCAGCCAAACAGGGATTGCTATCCAAGGAAACTGGGCTGACAAGACTGATAAATGGCTCTGACTCCTGGCCGTTCCCATTCAATTTCCTATGAAGTCTTCAGAGACAGCCAAAGTAAGCCTGATTCCTAATCTGCTTTTCCCCTGTGTTCAGTCCACAGATCACTGGCTGTGCACCATGAGTTAGTTACCATTCATACATGGGGGCACAGTTCAGTCCTCACCTCGGGGATTAGTGCAGTAGGCAGTAGTGAGACATCTGTTGGAAGATGCAATGCACAGGGCAGAGATGTAGCACAGAGGGAGAGAAGAAGAAAGCTCGAAGGGAAGAGACTACGGAGATGGCCTCTGGGAAGCTTCACACATTCTGAAGGAAGATTTTGAAGCATAATTAGAACTTTGTCAGAAGGAAAATGGAGGCCAGAGATGTAGCTCAGTGACACTGCACCTGCCTGGCAAAGCATAATGTCCTGAGTTCAATCCCTGGTACCAAAAAAAAAAAAAAAAGAAAGTGGAACCAGAGAGGAAAAGGACATTCACAGAATTGCAAATGTACAGCCACTTGAAGCTGACAGAAGGTTTCACATGGATTGTTTTTGGAGCATGAAGTGCAGAGGTAGAGAAATTGAAACTGGTGGAAATGGTAAAGAGACTGTTAAAGGGAAAGGGATGACTTCTACACCATGCTAAAGAGGAGGACAGTGTTTCCTTACCTTAATGCACTTTAGATTCACCTCGAAGGACCTAAACAAAAACTCGCAGTGCCCTAGGCTGGTGCTTCACAAATACTAAGTACATAGAATTGAATCAGCTGATAATTTTTTTCAAAGGCTGATTCTGGTTTTGGAGTCAAGTGTTGAACCTGAGATTCTGTGTTTCTCAGTGCTG